AGGCAGCAGGGGCTGAGGGTTAGGTAAGATGCACAGGGGCACTAAAGCCAGGGGTGGGGGGAAGACAGATTTTCCTTCTTTAACAGTTTTGCTGAGGCCTTTCCTACTGATAACTGCATAGCTACCCCTTAATATGGTAAAATTGTTTTTTTTAACTGAAAAAATAAAATGCAGCAAAAAACATTGAGTACAAAAGAACCCTTTCCCAAATGAAGTCGCTTTCCATAAATTCTCTATGCAAATTCAAGCACACCTATATCTCTTTTTGCCTCTTTTTTTCCTTCTTCTTCAAAAGCAGATGGAAGCACACTGTACACTGTTCAGCACCTTGCTTTCTTCACATAATACACACTTCAGCGCATAAAGTGCTACTTGAGTCTTTTGTACTACTGCATAGTAGTCCATTATGGAGGACTCTAAATATTTTTGACCAGCTTTGATAACAGCTGTGTGTAGCCTTTCACTTATTATAAACAATCCTGCAGTGAACATCTTCCCTCATCTACCTATCTATGCACGTATGCAGTAATTATCCACAGGGCAAATCCCTAGAAGAGGAGGTCTGAACATTTTTGGCATTATGATAGACACTGTCCAATTTGTCTCTATTGAGGGTGGACCAAAATATTAATGACCTTTTGCTGCTTGGTTTTTCCTACCCTTATAGTGCCCCATGGAACCTTCCATCACTAAAAGCAACTCAGACCACGTCTTGAAACAGGACTCCTGTCCTCTTGTTTCTTCCTTTCCTCTTTTTACTTCAGGAAAGAATAATTAAGTCTATTTATTTATTTTAATTTGTAGAATAAATAAGTCTTTTGAGAGACAGTCTTCTTGGAGGTTTTAGGATAACGTTTCTTGGGTAATCATTGTCAAAAAGGCTTGGTTCAGTGAATGTCCTATGAAGAATTCAACTGTGCTTTAATACAGATTTGAGTGGGAAAAGGGGGTGTGCTAGTTTTCTAAGAATGTACCCTTAAATATTACTATTTACCCAGAGCTTTGGGAGGGTTATGCAGTTTGTGTGATTGAGTCACCTGGATCTSTTCCATGGCTAAGTTTCTGTAGTAAGATACATATTACAACTCAGATAGTAACCAGATCGTTTTCATTGCTGTCTCTACAAATACCTATAGAAGACATAGTGTCTTTCCTTGTAACTCTAAGGTATAGACTGGTTAATTAATGAAAGAAGGGGAAATCTTTTGAGTAGTACTTAGTGGGTATTTGGCTTATTAAACATGACCTATTATTTTTGAAACGTGCTACAAAAAGGCAAGAGTTACCATCCTATTACAAATGAATTCTTTACTGTTAACTGGGGGTGGGATAATTTTGAAGATGGGAGCAAATTTAATTAAGAAAAAGGCCACCTGTTTAGCTTCATATTATCAAAATTAGAACAAGTAATCTTTATATCACTTCTGTCACGTTTGGCTTTCTTCAATGGAGAGCATTTTTCCTAGGATTAAGCAACACATTGAAATATTTTCACACTTCATAGTATGAAAAATGTGATGGATTTCCAAGCCAACGTCTGCATACTAAACACAAATTTAAAATATGCCTGAGAAATGGTGGTTATAATTTTATTATGGAGATAACCACGATTATGGCCAAATAGGAAATAGAATGAACACTTCACCTGCAGAAGCAACATTCCTGAAGAGGTATATATGGTTAAAATATACACCAGATTATATGCTGATTGTCCAAGGGTCAGTAAAAAAAAAAAAACATATTTAAGTTAAAAATCTGTTCTGCTAAATCCCAGTTCATCCTTACTAGGACACTTTTTCTCAGGAGCTCAGTAGAAAGGGGAGACTCTATAAAATGTGTACCTAACAAAGCATGTCAGCAACTTGAATGGAGTAAACCAGGACAGATCTGAGAATTCTAATAAATAAATGAAGTTGAGCATTTATTGCCAACAATCATGTCACTGGGGCCACAGAAAACTGGAGCTGCACAGCTGGGGAAGGGAGGAGTCTGTAGCCAGAGAAGGCAATGGAACGCACCCAGGTTTGATTATTTATGGTGTGCTGATGAAGAGAGAGCTTTCCATATGAGGTGCAGCTTAACAGAGGAACAGTCAAGCTGAACTAGGAAGAGGTCCAGCAAGAGAGAAAGAGAGAGCAACAAAAGGGGACATGAATAAAAATGACAGGTAATAAAACAATACAAATCTAAAATGCTGTAACTTTCAGAAATAATTTTGGGCCAAAAGAAAAGAAAAAAAATCTGGTTTTGCTGGCTTTGAGCCAATTTTCCAAGAAGCAAAAGACATTAAGCAAAATGAATGTGCTGAGTTGAAGACCAAATTTTCCTTGATATGTTCCTAGCTTACAAGTTTGGTTGCTTCTAATGCTGATTTATATGTAAAAAGCAAAGTATTTATCTGATGTTGATGCACTTAATCCTCTTCCCCCAACAACTATCTATTATTCCATAGGAGGTACTGGACCCTCTAGGGTCTATGGTAAACAAAGGCACAGTCCCTGCCCTCAAGAGGCTTATTATGGTCTAGCATGGGAAGCAGAACAAGCCCACTGCCAGTTTCTGGATGGGGTGGGGAGAACTATGACAACAGTTAAATCAGGGGCCAGGAGAGGGCAGAGAGCAAGCCACAGGAAGGAGGTGCCATCCTGGCTGAGACCTGAGAAATGTGAGCCCCCAAATAAGAGTCTGAAAAGAGATCACTTAGTGAATTCTGCTTTCTATACTGATTAAATAGACATTTACCAAACCTCCATGCAATCCAAGCTAGTTTTATTAGTTATTTAAAAATTAAAATTTAAGCTGGGCATGGTAGTGCACGCCTGCAATCCCAGAGGCTTGGGAGGATGGTGAGTTCAAAGCCAGCCTCAGCAAAAGTGAGGCGCTAAGCAACTCAGTGCGACCCTGTCTCTAAATCAAATACAAAATAGGGCTGGGGATGTGGCTCAGTGGTTAAGTGCCCCTGAGTTCAATCCCCAGTATCTGCCCTCTCCCACAAATTAAAATGTCCTTTTTATGTAATGAATCAAAATTCTGTGGTTCTCAGTAGAGTTTTCATCCCTGAAATCTCTAGGTCTACCTGAGCTGTTTTATCTTATATAACATATCTTTTCTTTCAAATCTGGCCAAAAGTGTAATAAATACCAGCCACCTGTTACTATGTAACCCAAACTTGCCAAGTGTCTTGGATTCTCCAAACAATGCCTTGAGGTAGGACTATTACTGGCATTTTACAGCAGAGGGAATGGGGCCTCAGAAAGGGACACCCTCAGAGAGGTTACAGGGTAAGTGTTGGAGAGCTTTATTCTATACTGCATGACCTTTAGGTTAAGTGTACAGGTTAGACTGCTCCAATAACACTTCTACACCTTAGGGAGGCCCTGAACCGTTTCCAAAATTACTTTAGCAAAATCCCTCCCTCGTCTTCCTACCTCCTCAGTAATAGCCCCTCTTCCCACCATTCTGAGGAAGAACTGCTTTAAGGGCCAGAAACTCCTTACTTTGGATAGCATTGTGGCTGTTCGAGCTGTAATGCAGAGTGTTTCCAGAGGCTAACAATTGTAACAAACACTGTATTCTGAACGAACCCATGAACACAGGCATTGAGCGGCATCTGGACTCCAAGTTCTCTTCTCTCATTTCAAAATGAGTTTTCTTAAAAAATGAATGTTGACTTCTCCAGTCTTTCTTGCCTATTTCCCTGTCCCCTGTGGACCAGTGACAGATGACTTGCCTAAATTCAGTTAGGCCTCTAGGGCCACTGCTCTGAAATGTGTTCTAGAAGGGGATCCTGCCAGAGACCTTCATCCTGAACCAATCATATCTTCTGTCTACCTTTGTTCTTTGTCCCATTCACACCTCCTTGTTTCCTTCCAGAGATTATCTACACTCTCGATCCGGGAATATGTGGTTAAATGCAGGCCATAGGTAGGTGTCTCCATGACTAAGGGGATATTAGACATCTCATTACTGGCTGGGTGATGCGATCTTGGCCTCCATACATATCCACACTCACTATTCTGCCCCTGACCAACTGGTATTTCTGAAATGCTACTTAGTATCTTAGGACTGAGCAGTCTGCAAATTATTTCATAATTTGAATTTAGGTTCAAGTAATATTGTTGGGTAGATCTCATTTTGTAATGTCTTCAATCTTCCATGAAATAAACTGGCAACTGTACTGAGTGGTACAGCTACTTCATTATTATTAACTCATTAATATTAACTCATTATTACTCATTATTCTAAATCTATAAAATAGTGTAGGTCTGATATTATCTCTTTGAAAATGGGTAGAATCTGATCAATCAATAAACCATGGCAATATCCTCCAGAGAATTCCAAACTTAACACTCTTTTTCTTAAATTTACAAAACTATTTGCTAACAAGGCAGGGATGGAGTTTTCTCTTTTTACACTATTTTAGCCACATGGTGCCTATGACCACTTTCTTTTAGAACTAGACATTTAAAAAGATGACTTAAGACCCACTAGCTTATCAGAATTTAGTGCTTCCTCTGTTGGGTAACTTCCTGTATCACAGAAAAATGTTATGACCATGCCTGGGCCAACCTTCGGCAAACAGGGCTAACCACACGCGCAGTACTTTCATGCAAAACCGGCGATTCTAGTGGGATGAATGCTCTGACTCTCCCGTCTCAGAAAATGATTTTGCAACCAGGATGGCCAGAAACTTCAAATGGCAACTTTTCTGATTCAAGGTAATTTCCCAGGAATTAAAGAGGCAATCATTTACTCTTGACTTTCAAAGAGACTCCAGGCTTGAAAGGTACAGTTGTATCTAAAATTGATCAGCTAGCAACAACCCTCTGAAGTTACCTGGGAGTGAGAGAGCAGTTGAGATACCTACACATCTGGACTGAACCATCTAGTTCACTTTCCATGTTGTAAATTTTCTGGCCCCAAAGACTATTTGAAAACAACTTTTACCAAGAAAGTGGATTTCTTTATTAGCTGAAATGCTAAAAATTCTTTATTATTTTGATATGGAACATTATAGCTGTGAGACTTGCCAAGTTATCTTCAAGGCAATATGCATTTAAGAAAATAGTAAAATCACACAAAAAATTAAGTGTTAAAAACATATACTTCAAATGATGGTAGAAGACAACCTTATGAAAAGACTGCTTGGCAGCATATTCAAATACACCAGGGAATTTAATAAATATCAACCTTTACCAACTAATTTGATACCATGGTTTGAAATGAAATAGAATTGCCACATGTAAATTCTTCACATTGTTGGTCTACGTAAGTAGAAAATATCTGAAAAAAAGGACACATAAACACACACTCACACGCACACATTTTTACTGAAAGTTATTTGAAGAACAACCTATAATCCTCTACATTTCAATCTCCAAATTTTGATCTTTTAATTTATTCTGAAATAAAGTCTAAGATAATAAAGCCAGTACATAGAATTTTAAAATCAGACTGCATATGGTTAGAAAAATATGCATCCAGGGCATATATTTATTTCATAAGAAAATAAAACTATGTACAAAAATTACTTTTGTTCATTAATGTTAATTCTAATTTGTTTGATTCATAAAATTAAGTACCACCATAAAACACAAAGCTTTGATAGAAAGGTGCTAGCAAAACTCTCTTTAACCCCAGTTTACCCCAGGGTTTCATTTTTCAGTTTTACTGGAAAGTTCAATCACTCCCTGGTTCGAGAAAGTACTTAAAATAGCCCAGAGTTTGGAAGGGTCCTCACAGTTATGTCTGTGTTCCCAGTGCAGGAAGAGCTCCTCCTTCCTTCCCAGTGTCTGGGCACAAAGGAGGCAGTTAAAGCCTGAATGGGACCAGAGGAGAATGGTGTGGGGGCTGGGACACTCAGGGACCTGAGGTTGTTCCCTTGGCTCATTTGCTCCTGGTAGGCCTCCTTCATTTTCCATGAGTATTTCCACACCATTTTGGTGGTGAAGATAGAGTGGCCTTTTCAATTTAGGAAATGCGCGGAACTCCTCCTCAGAAGAACAAGCCTTTACCTGCCTTCTTCTCTCAGGATGCTGTTTCCAGTCAGGAGCAGCATGTTTAACCAGAGCCTCCTGAGCTCCTTTGGTGCCTGGTAAGATTCCCTCTTGCAGCCTGCCCTGAATTTCCTCTCCATGAACATAAAGCAGATGGAACTTTATTTCAGCAAAAGACTGAGCAGTGATCTGACAACGGCCACATTTGATTTGTAATTTGACTTCACCTGCCTGGTTTAGAAGTAAGTCTTCTTCCAAGCTTGACTTGTTTTCCCTGAAACGGGGGAAAAAGTCTATATAAGATTTCATGGAAAAACACAATTAGAATTTTTCCTTTCAGTTCTAAGCCCTTAGGGATCTAAAACACACCTACAATGAGAAGTACAAAGAATGGGGTAAACACAAAAAACCAAGAAAGCCAGAGCCTGGGAAGGGACTCTAGCAGAGGGCACAGTGAAAGCTAACTGTCACACATTGTTTCTCAGGACACCTGGGTTCATTTAGGAAGTGACTATGCCTTTCTGCTTCTCTTGGGCAAGCCCCTCTTCTTTGCTTCCCACAGGAACAGGGGTACTCAACACGGAATAATCAGGGAGTGTCAAGTCAGGTGTTGCAGAGTTACTTGCTGCAACTGAAGGTAACTGTGCCCCACCACTCAATGTTGCCCTCCCTATCCTTGAGCACAAAAGGCAGTTTGGACATTTTACTCAAACATCAAAATCTGACAACAGGAAAACAAGAAGGTTGGTTTCTTTGTACACTAGTGAAAAGCATGAGAGCAGAAGAGAAACTATACACAGGCAAGGAAGTAGTAGAATAGGCACCCCTTATTTATCGAATATGACAGAGTAAGCCAAAATTGAATAGAAAATATGTTGAGCAAATGAAACAATGAAAAACAAGAGGCAGAGAACTGAAAAAGTGCTGGAAAAAGTTTTCTTTTCATGATGCTGCTAAGAATTAATTCTAGTGAAACTCCTTGTCACCTTGGTGGAAAGAGGATACACATAGCCCTCACTGAGAGCATGTGCCTGGTTCATTGCTGCTCTAAGGTCTGCCTGCCAGGCTTCCAAACTACATAGCTTATTTGTTTATAATGTGAGGAAGCAGTACTTGCAAAAAGGAATGACAGATTAATCTGGCCTGATGGGAAAAATGGGTCATGTTAGGTCTGGGTAACTTAGGGTGTGGCTGATGCAGCAGACCCCTGGAGACCCCATCAAGAGTCACCCTGTGTTATAGGCAGATACTGCTGTTTAGATAGAAATCCTATGCACGTAAATTTGAGGAAGATTATTTGTAAAGACTATCAGGAACTATATATGATAATTTACTACTTCATTTTCAGATGCAAGAATAATTTTCTGAAGCCCAATTGTCCTGAGCACACCTCAAACTAGCATTTCTGCCTTGGCATACACAGGTTAGAGTAATTAAAAATTATGACTGACCAGACACCAAAGAGAAATAAGATCATTCTTTACTGAACTAGGGGGAACACTACCTTATGAAATCTTCATCTGAGAGATGTTTTTATGAAGTCTTTTTTGAATATGAAATCTTCCCCTCTTCCCCAAATCAAAACAGGCTTTTGTGCCATACTTCTACTCCATTGGCACTCACCTCTCCAGGGGTCCCTCCATCGCTTGCATACTAGGATCTCTGTCTCTGTTCTTTGGCATGGCCCCTGGCTGTGGTTCACTGGGGGAGGGCTCAGTGCTGATCACGACCCTATGCACTTCTTTCAGATGGCCAAAATAGACTCGGATGTGACCAAACACTTTTGCACAAAACTCACAACACACAAGTTTCTTCAGACGGTTTTCACTGTGATGAAGTCTCATGTGTGTGCTTAGGCTGCCAGAACGTACATAGGCCTTGCGACAAATCCGACAACTGTATGGCCGTTTGTTGGTGTGTGTATTCATGTGGTCTCGAAGGTGCTGTTTGAACTGAAAGTGGTGGTTACAAACGTGACATCTGTGCCAAGGTTTCTTGATGCCAGAGAATCCATTTCTGAATACAGAGCTGGGCTTAGAGGAAGGGTTGTCATTCTGCTTACAGCTGAGATATTTAGAATTATTTAACAAAGTGTCCTGTCCCAGGCTGCTGGACGTTTGGGATGGTAGCACAGCTGCAGGAGAAGGTAGGGGAGCCAAAGCAGACACAACAATTACAGGTTTAGGCATAATGTTACGGTATTTTTTCAGGACCCCGGGTTTTTGGTCTCTGGATTCTTGGGGATCAGTTTTTGCTCTCTCTTTACTATCTCTACATTTATTAAGAATGCATTTCCTCTTTTTTCCTTGAAATGTCAAAATTTCATCTGGTATCTTTCGTTTTCTTCCTCTTCTCTTTGCTGCCCCACCATTCAATTTTGTTTTGTGGTTGAGATCTAGTTTGGTAACTGGATAAAAGGCACTTTCACAAAGATTCTGCCTTGACACCTGTGGAACAGGTGTCTTACTGGCCATTTTGGTGGCTGCATTAAAGCCTTCCGTGGTGGAGAATCTCTTATCATAGTCTGTCCCATGCCCAGGTAAAGAAAAATCTGCAGTATTGGCATCAGATTCAATTTTGCAAACCTCTGCTGTTTTCATTCTAGAGTAGGGTAAGATTGGCAGCTTACCCCTGGGGACTGAAGAGATCAATTGAACTGTACTGCCTAAAATGGCTGGTGATAAACTGGTTATAGCTTTTGCATGATCAACTTGTTCTTTAAGTTTTTCACTGGCAATAGGAGAAGTTTTACTGGGTATTTTCTTGCTTGTAAAGTTTACTCTCTCTGAAATCTTTGGGAAACTCTGCTTGGCTGAGGGCTCCCCTGATGTAGAGAATATTGGGATGGCAGGAGGGGTCACATCTCCATGGTTGTTGGTCACTGGAGATCTCGAGTCTCCATGGCCACTGCCACTTGTCAGTATAGCTGTGCTGATGCTGGCTGGGGCTTTGTCTAGTGATGGCAGCTGCTTACATGGACTGGGTTTATGTGGAAGTTCAGGCTGGGCAGATGTAGGAGGAGACATCTGAGGACACATCTGGGTTTGGGCAGGAGATTTGCTACAGCCACTCTCAGGAGGGCTCAGGATGGGTTTCTTTCTTGATCCTTTGTTACTTCTTGGGGGTTGATATCGGGGAATAGGCAGTTTAAGATTTTCAGGCATTCTAGGTTTCTGAACTGGTTGAGTTGAGGCAACATGTGGCAAAGCAACAAGAGAAAATGTTCCCTCCTGGCCAGCAACTTGCATCAGAGCATAGTTCTGGGCAGGCATCCCCAGTGGCTTGATGGCGGGCCCCAGATTCCCCTGATCGGAGAGTGATGGTGAATGACATGGCAGCACTTTGGATGTTAGGACTTTGGGCACAATTTTTGGCGCAATGGTCCTAAACTGACTCTTATTCTGCAAACTTTTCCCACTCTGTATTGTTCCAGAAGGGTTGTTTGATTCGCCTGAAATGATAATACAACATGAAAAGTTATTGTAGTGTAACTGTCCTGTTATTGAGAGTTCACATAATCATCTTATTCTACTTAGAACAGATTCCTTGATGTACCTCTTACCCTTCTGATCAAATGCCCATGCCCTTCAAGACCCAACCTGAAGGTGAATTCCTGGCCAGCTTCACCAAGGATTATTATTCTCTTCTATGGTTCCACAGCCCCTACTATAATACAGACTGTTTCCCATAATGATTTCTGTGTTTATGTGTCTCCACCACTAAATATAGAGCTTCTAGAGAGGTGGGATGCTGTCCTCCTCCTTCTATTCTGAAAGTCTATCCTCTTCATTTGCCCAATCTGACCATCTCATAAAACAGAATTAAAAATTTAAAAATCAACTTCAGTTTAAATACCTAGTTAGTGTACTAATGATTCTTCACAAGCCAGGGCAACCCCACCTCTTTTCCTGATATCCTGAGCTGCAAAGTTTCCTCTGGTATATTCTGTTGTATATTTTATTTACTTTATATACATGCCCTGCTTTCCCTATTATCCTTAAGCTTTATGAGGGTAAAGCGTAAATCTTGATTTACCCACTGTCTCTGCGGTATGAAATAAATGTTTCTTATATCAAACTCATTTTTCATTCAATTTCAGGATACACCATTTGACCCACTGGCAGTGTAATTTGTTTTGCACTGTGGATGAATTCCAGACTGAATGCTAGCTTTGTTGTTGTCTCCCCATGTGACTTGTGAATTTCTTCTCACACCTTTCAAACTGTTTATGTGCGCTTTTGCAATTAAATCACCAGTATTAAAAAAGCTGATGTGACACCTTTAAAAAATGTTGAACAAAAACAATAAGATACAAAGTGATAAGTAAGGACATAGAGATGAAATTAAAAAAAACACATGAATCACCCAAAAAGCACTGTCTAGGATACTAATAGGAACAATTTTAACTGAAAGAATAACATTTCGTTCTCCCTCGATTTATTAGCCTGACCAAAGACCAATTTCTACAACCTTAGGAGAACAATTAAGGGGCCCTGCTTCTAAGAACTGAATCATCTATTTTATTCCCTGAGGCTGCAAGGTCACAAGGCTGGCTGCGGAAAAGTTTCTCGTTTCTAAGTACTTCATATTAATCAAACTTCACTTCAACTCACATTTACTAGGCACCTACACTAGTCTAGAAACTGGGACCATTGCAAGCCTAAAAACCCTTTTGAAACTCACGGGGCCACATGTGTTTTGCAATTTACACTTTCAAATTTTAGAAAAGTAATAAGAAGCATATATCAAATGTTACATAACATTCAGAGGTGCCCATAAGTAAACCTATTGCCACTTCTCATAGCAAAATACGTGAGTATCCACAAGTGGACACATGAAGATCTTTAAATTGTCTTATTTCAGTTCAGGTTTTTGCCTATGAATGAGTTTTTATCAATTTTTTGATAAATTTTTCTGTTTTCAGAGCTTTTTAGATCTTGGAATTGTGCATAAAGGATCAAAGAACAATCTGCTTCCAGGATGCCAGGGATGTGAACACAGGTAGGTAGCTGACCATCTCATAAAACAGAATTAAAAATTTAAAAATCAACTTCAGTTTAAATACCTAGTTAGTGTACTAATGATTCAATCAGAAAGTTGACTGTTTTAGTAAGACTGACATGCTTCAAATACATAAGTAGCGTAGTAGGAATCAGCTGGGAAGCAGAGTGGCCAATTTATTAAAAGCAATCAGTGGTGAAATAGGAAAAGGATGCTATGAAACATTGCACATTAGAGTAAGAAGTAAAAGGACTTGTGCTGTTCTGGAAAAGTTGGACAAGGATAATCATATTGTCTGTTGTTTTCTTTCTTAGTTTTGTCACCATGAGGTTCAGGACAAACTGATTAGCCAATCATTTCATAACACCCACTTCTGTGCATTACTATATTTCCTTCCTTATTCATAATTTTAATTTTAAAATTCTATTTTCATTTTAAGCCTCATATTCTCATCTTTTTTAGAAAAGTACTGGAGTTGTAAATAAATATATTAAATCAAGAGGCACAGAATTTGCAGAAAGCCTACAATTATTGATAGCTTTTGGTGACCTGAGATAAGGCTTATTAAATAATTATATTAACAATTAATAATGGTCTTTGCATCTATACAACGAATCTGGGGTAGGAAAAATACAGAAGAGAATACATTGGGTCATTTATGTTGATTCCTACTCCTAAATGATTAAGCAGAAAACATTTACAGCAAAAAGAGCTAGAATAAAGGCTATTTTGTCTTTATTCAGTCATAAATCCTCTCAAAACATGACAATAATACATCATAGCAAAAGACATAACACCTCACTTGCCTGCTCACAGATGACTGTCCAATGGCTCTTCATCTCAGAGTGAAAGCCAAAGTCCTTGCAATGGCCTTAAAAGCCTCAGGCTATTTGGGTCTCAGGGGTGACTCTGCCATTTCCTTCACTTGCTTCCCTCCAGCCATCATGGCCTCTTTGCTGTTCCTTAAATGTGCCAGACAGGCACCTCCTCAGTGCTTTGCACTTGAAGTTCCCACTGCCCAGAACATTAAATCCCTAGTACCTGCTGCATCATTTCCTTCAAGGTTTTGCTCAAATGACCTCTTCCCTGTGAACTCTTCTCTGATCACTTTATTTAATACTGTATTACCATTCTGAATTTCTGCCACAGTTAGGATGTGGTTTGTGTCCCAGGGATCGATGTGTTGGAAGCTTTGGTTCCCAGGGTACTATATTGGAAGGCTGGGGAAATTTTAAGAGGTGGGGCCTAGGGGGAGGTCCTTGGGTCAGGGTGGGAAGGTCATGCCCTCTGAAGGGACTGAGGACATTGTCCTGGGAATCTGGTTAGTTCTTATGAGAGGGATATTAACAAAAGCCTGAGCCTGACCTCATCTACCCTGTGCTGCTTGGACTTCTAACCTCCAAATTTGGAGCTCCTTTTCCTCATAAGTAGCCTTCCTCAGGTATTTCATTATAGTAATAAAAAACAGACCAATGCAACAACCCATTCCTTTTTCTGGCTTTAATTTTCTCTGGAACATTTGTTTATCTATTGTACTAAGTGTATGGTCTGCCTTTCCTCAATAAATGAATTCCTTGAGGGCAAGGGGTTTGCCTGTGTCTTCAAGGACCTGGTACAGTGTTCCAGCAAGTGGTACGAATTAATAAATGTTTGTTGAATTTGTTAAGTGATGATAAAGTGACCAAAGAGAAAAATCAAGAATTGATAGATTATGCCCAAGCAATTTTCTTTTACAATGGAAAAAGAAGGAAACAATTTAAAAATAACCTTTAACATTTCATAATTTTGAAAATTAACAAAAGAAAGAGAGGATATATCTCTGGAACTACTACTTCTTTTTTTCCCCCCCAATTTAACTCCAGTAACTGCCAGAATAAGGAAGTGGTTCAGTATAATAATCAAATTCTTCAAAACAAAGGAGATGGTAAGGCCAGTTGTCTATCAGAGGAAATAATAAAATAATAATAAAAGTAAATTATGCTATTGGTGTGTAAACTGATGTAGTCACAGTAACAAGTGGTCTCTGAAGAAAAAACTGCTCTAAGAAAACAGATATACACTGAGAGAGGAGTAGGGAGATTAGAGTGAAGACAGGAACATGGAAAAGCTGAACTTCAGAGGCAGAGCATGGTAATGCAACATGAAGAAGAGCAGAAGCCACACAGAACAGAAGATGCAGCTGAAGCAACAACCAGTGTCAACCAGTGTCAAAGGTCACTTCAAGATCTCTAAAGGATTCAGTTGGGAAGGAACTTCCTATTTTTTTATTTTTAAATAACCAAGTAAAAGAAAGCAACCTTCTAAGAGTTAAGGGTTTCAGAAATGAAACTGGATGTACTTTATAAAGCCATACCAAAATGGAATAAGCTGATTATGACATATTTAAAGTTAATGTGCTACGTCAGATATTCAAAGGTCTCTGCATTATGTGGCTGTCTGTGGTTGGGAACAAAGGACACTCCTGAGGGTAACCAGGTCGGCTCCAGCAAGGGAGAACGCAGATCAGTGTGAGCAGTGTGGGCAGCCTGAATTGACAGAGCCTGGATGACAGGTCTAGCACCTGCCAAGTGAGTCAGTTCCCAAGCGCCCTGAATTTAAAGGCATGGAGGCTGGGGTAGAAAAGCTTGTCAGCCGGCTCATTTTCAATCATCACAAGCTAATCACAATCTGTGAAGACTGTGAAGATAAGGCTTTATAGGGTAAATTTTACTTACTTTTGCCTGCCTGGATCTATCAGGAAGTACACAAAAAGATGAGGGTCTCCTAGAAGTCCCATTTCCCAGAATCATTAGAGAAAGGGAATGAAACTGGTGCATTAGAAGAAAAGCAAGGCAGAAGTATAACAGGGACTTAGGCTGCCTTTGCTGTGCAGTTGAACCTGGTTTGTTGGCACCTATTGAGTCAGGCCTCTGGCTTAGGACTCCAATAATGAAAGAGGAAAAACCACAAAAAATGTATGAAAAATACCCCAAGCCCCAGGAATTACTTACATGTCCATCAACAGAGTGCTAATAAAATAATCATACAACTATGTGATGTAACACTTTGCAGCAGTAAAAAAAGAATGAATTAGATTGATGTGGAATATTCTCCAAGATGTGAGATTCATAGTATTCTATTGTCTAGATGAAAAAGCTGGGGGATACACACATAAACATATTCCTGTATATGTACAGAACAGTTCTGAAAGGAAACAGAAGAGACTAGAGTTAGTGGCGGACTTTTGTGGGGTGGGGCAACCGGGGGAATGTTTGAACTAGGACAGGCATTTATTTTCACTTAACACCCACTGCCTGCACATAGGAGATGCTCATAAATATTTGTTGAATGAATGAAAGGAAAATGAAAGTTTACTTATTTGAAGTAGTTTCTAAAAGCACTATCTTTTGGGATATTCGTGATGAGTGTATGCTACGCCTAAATGACTATATCTAGATATGCACACGGGAATGATTCATGTCTTTTATTTTCCTTGACTACTTAATGCAAGAACTGCTAATGACCAAGGAAGTAATCTAGTAATCTGACAGGCAGCACATACTACCTCCTGAGGTTAAGCATTGAGAAGTATGAGAGCTCATTACCTCCCAAGGACAAGTGGAGTCCTGAGAATTGCTCCTCCAAACAATTTCTTCTTTAGGATGAAAGAAGGCAATTTGCAATAAAGGTCAGTTATGCTAGATTGACTTCAGTTTTTTTTTTTTAAAGTAGTTTGAACAATAGGAGTCCTTAGAGAAGATGAAAATGCCATTAAATTTTAAAACTCTAAATACTAAGAAAGTACGATTGTAGGAAGTCTTTCTTGGCAATGTAGCTACAACAGTGGTTTTTTCCACCACACATTTACAAGGCCTTTCACAGATGGTGTGATCTAAAAACCCTCACCTGCACCTACTAAATTACAGATCTTAGAGAACTCTGTACTAAATAATGAGCAGTAGAAATTTCCACTGACATTCATAATTTCTGAAAATCCTACGAAATTACCCATAACAGAGTTAAAGAGACTCACAGGACTCTCGGGTACTAAACATGGGCTTTTATTAACTGAAAACATAAAAGGCTTACTCAGTAAAATTAATTTTGTACAATTATTCAATGAGAATACTTAATATTAGGATTTTAAATGTGGGCTATTTTTAATCTGTTAAGCATATTAAAGTAACTATTTTGAAAAATGACATTTACAGTTGGGGAGAAATTGATCTAACTGTGGAGTAAAAGGGAACTGGGAGATGCTGAGTTCTTACAATGGTCTAGAACCTAGGCTAGGTCTTTTAATTCCACAAGAAAGTACTATAGTTCCCTCTTTTTAAATATTATGAAAAATAAAGCTTGAGGAAGTTAAGAAACAAGTAAGGTCCACAGAACCCTATCTGTTCCATTCCAATTTGAAGCAGTGATTTTCCTTCATTCTTTCCTCAGAGGCGGAAAATTAAATACAAAGGAATCCTAATTAATTCCAAAATATAATACCATTTCTGAATTTTAAGGAGAAAAAACCCATTTGAAATAGAACTGGCTTTATTCAAAAATTCCTATTACCATTAAATTGATACTTCTGGAAAGCCCACTTGAAAGAGAAAATTAATGGAAAATTAAGTCATCTGAAAGTACAAGCCAATTTTTAGAGTCACATTTGCCATATACTGTCCATAGGATTCTAACAAATGCAGAAAGACTACCAGACATTTGTTTGGAGAATGTGCAAAACGTGTTCTCCACCTCCTCCATCACCAGAGGATTGGATCTGATGGATATTGTTTGCATGTTAGAAGCATTGGGAGGAAGAATGAGAGCTCAGTAGCACTAGGTGCCAATGTCTAACTCAGCTTTATCATACTCTTTCCAAACGCAGCTGGCATAATTAAGAGACAAGTGCATGGGGCAATTCTCTAGATAGCTACTTACAACTCACTTCCTGATTTCCACTGGCAGAACTGAGGCCTGCTTTGTTGCTTCTAAACAAAGTTGTTCCCGCTCATCTCTGGGTTTGGGCAGAGTTCCATTATTCCATCTGTTGGGGCCCACGGGCCTACTGCTAAGCATGTTAGGATGGAACAAGCAGGGGAGTGTCCTCGCTCTTGAAACAGGGCCCCTGGATCCAGGCTCAGAACGAAAGTGCTGCCAAATCAACCTCTAAGGAGCCAACATTTTTAGGTGCTGTTTAGGTTTTAATTTTATTAACTAAAAACCCTATTTACAATTTTATTTGTTGGCATCCCTGTTTTCTCTCCCATTTGGAATTCAAATAATAAATTTCAGTTGGGGTTCAAACTGTTTCCCAAGATGGTCTGTGGTTAAAATAAGTGTGGTAAAATCCTGGAGAAGTTTGGGATAAAAATAATGTCTCATAACACAAGGGAGCTCAATTTAATTTTGTCAAAAAACTATAAACACATTTAGCCATTGCCTACTCAATCTTTTAGTGCTGTCCAGGATCTGTGGCAATAGGCAGAGTCAGTAAGAATTTACTGAGTGTTGACTGTGGAGTGTGCACTGTAAAATGTGCTGGCAATAGGCACAAGTGTGCTTTTGTTTCAAAGTACTCAAGTTGCCAAATATCATTTCTTGTATCTCCAGCACGAAGGCCTGAAGTCATCATTATCTCAGACCCAACTGAGATAAGCACATTTCCAACTGGACATTTGTGTCCTGTGTCTATTTGTCCATTCCCTTTGGCACATCTGTCCTGCTTTGCTGACCTATGCTCTTGGCTAACTCCCTCCCTTCCTCTCCTAATGCCAGTACCTAGCAGGCACCTTCCACTCAGCACAACCCTGTGAGAGTTTGTCAAACAATGAAATCCTCACCTCCTTAGCAAGAAAGGGAATTCTTATTTTCTGAGAGCTGAGTTTCTTTCATGATGACTGTTGCTTAAACATTATTCTAATGATAAGTTATATTTTATGTCAGGTATTGTAAAAAAAAAAAAAAACACATGCATTATCTCATTTGATCTCCATGATAACCTGAGTGAGGAATTCCTGTTGAGCCATTTTCTAGTAAAGATTTCTAAGCTGGTGAACAGCAGTGCTGGAATCCAAATCCTGGCCCTCTTGTCTGCACAGGCTTTCCCGGCTCCTCCTTGTATAGATTGTAAACTACTGTGCACAGTTATGGCCACCATTATACTCTCTGAATTTGGGGGTTCAAACAGTTTGGTTTCGATGCCTGGCTTTGTCATGTACTTGTGGCTTTGGCCAGTCACTCTGTTGCGCCTAAATATTGTCATCTATGAAATGGGCATAACAGTACACTAGCTACTGGGATTAAATGAGAAAAATATCCATGAAGGTGCCAGGGTGGTTCCTATCACGTTAGACAGACATTTAGCAGATAGTTTCCCATTTTCTCTTGCCAGGAAGGATTAAGTTTCTGATGCTTATTTAATGTGGGAAAATAAGCACAGAACTTGAGGGCTCATCATATGGAAATAGTTCTGAATCTTTAAACTAATGTTTCCTTTTTGAGAGGTAAATGAAGGAAAGTGAGACAAAATAGCTATTATTCACTAATGAGGATCCCCATAAAACTATATTTTTTTCTCTGCAGTTTCTCTGATGACACCCATTTGGGCAGCTCAGCCATCCCTAACATGATTCATCCTGTCAGTATCACTTACTCCCTCTCCTCCCCCACCCCGTATGTCAGTTGACAAAGTGTTAATTGGATTAACAATTCAGTGTGAACAGGAGTTAACATGTGCATTTCAAAGAGCTATTTTGTGGGGACACTCCATGCTTTTGTTTATACAGAATAGTGAAGCCAATTGTTGCTCTTTTAAAAAATTTTTATTGGTTCTTTTTAGTTATACATGACCATAGAATCCATTATGATATAATTAACAAGCATGGAATATATTTTATTCTAATTAGGATCTCATTGTTGTGGGTGTACATGATGGTGGGATTCACTTAGGTACTTTCATATATGTACATAGGAAAATTGTTAGATTCATTCTACTGTCTTTCCTATTCCAATTGTTGTTCTTAAACCTAGCAGGAAAGAAAGTACTAACAGGCATTCAGTTTAGCAAGAGTGAGTCAGGCCAGATCTCAGTGGCCCTGTGAGCGAAGGCACCACCTGGAGTTGGGTTTGGGATACTGGTCACTTCTCTGGAAGATAGTGAGAATAACAGCSATGATTTCTCAATTCAGGAGTGAAAAGATGTGGGCTCTCAAAGTGGGTAGGGACAGGGCAACCAAAGTTTTGAAGGCACATAGTTATAGATTTAGTATTTTGCTGCGTAAAGCATTAACAAATGTAAAGATAGCTTGACTTTAGAAAGAAGAGTTGGGCACCAAAGGGGAAATACAGTTCATTAACTGAATAAATCAGATACATAAATATATCAGAAAGTAAGAGGAAACAAGTATTCTTTATGAGAGAATTTAAAAGCCGATTACTTCAAACAATAGTGACAATAAAAGAAAATTACACAAGTGGTTTGTTAAATTCAAGTAACTATCTTTTTGAGGACACATAATTAATGTACCAAATGAAAAGTAAATTTAAAAAGCTTTATCATTTAAAATACATTTTAATATTTCTCAATTTCAACAAGTGTCTTCTTCATCTTAATTGAGCCCTTTTTATTAGTTCCTATGTCTGGGAGGACTTATTTTGATTTCAAGAACTTCTGATGAAAAACAGCTGAAAACTGGATGTGATACTTGTTTTTAATACATGTAGAAAGAAGTTGTTTATCTTTTTGGAAAAATAATTTGTAGCATGCACAAAATTTTATTCATTATTATACAACAGTCAAGTTAGTATCGTTACCCAAATCTAGGGATGAATGAATAGCATAAAAATTTGTGAAGAGTTAATGACTTTTCAAGGACACTCAGCAAAACAGATGGAAACTTCTGAAATGCTTTAACCCCATTTTCTTATTATTCTTTTTGTTGTTAATATTACTAAAATGGCTAATATTCACTTGAGTTCCAGTTGAAATTTAACCTTGATAAAAACATTTCACATGGTCAAAGCAGCAGATCATTTAATCTGACATTCTATCATCCACAAAAAATACCTGTGCAGACTGTCTTTCTAGGAGAGTCCAGCATTTGTGGAGTTAGGTGTTTCTCAACAGGACTGGTGGACATGGAATCATCTCCTATAGAAAAAAAACTTTGGTAAATGGAACAAATTTCTCATTGCAAGCAATCTTCAACAACCAATAAAAGTTGCTCTTTTTAAAATTTTCCTTAAGATGATTTTTAAAAAAACTTTGTTCTTTTTAGTTATACAGGGCAGTAGAATGTATTTTGACATATTATACATACATGGAATATAACTTCCCATTTTTGTGGTTGTACATGTTGTGGATATTACATATTACACTAGTCATATATTCATATATGAACATATAGGAAAGTTATGTCTGATTCATTCTACTGTCTCTACTATTCCCATCCCTCCTCCCTTCCCTTCATTTCCCTTTGTCTAATCTGATTAACCTCTATTTTCCCTGCTTATTGTGTTAGTGCCCATGAATCAGAGAGAATACTTGGCCTGTTTTTTTTGGGGGATTGGCTTATTTTACTTAACATGATAGTCTCCAGTTCTATCCATCCATTTACTGGCAAATGCCATAATTTCACTCTTCTTTATGGCTAATATTCTATTGCATATATGTAGCATATTTTCTTTATCCATTCATCTGCTGAAAGGCACCTAGGTTGGTTCCATAGCTTAGCTATTATGAATTGAACTACTATAAACATTGATGTGGCTCTCACTATAGTATAATGATTTTAAGTCCTTTTGGTATATACTGATGATTGGGATAATTGTGTCAAATGGTTCCATTCCAAGTTTTCTGAGGACTCTCCATTCTGCTTTCAAGAGTGGTTACACCAATTTGCAGTGCCACCAGCGATATATGAGTGTACCTTTCCCCCCATATGCTCACCAATATTTATTGTTACTTGTATTCTTGATAATTGCCATTCTCACTGGAGTGAGATCAAAGGGCTTTTTCTTTTTTTTAGTCTTATATTTATATAGCATTTGCAATAGTTATATATACTGGGTATGACTAGAGAGATGGCAGTTGATGAAGAAAAACTTTTCTTTAGTGGGATAAACAGACAAGGTTTGAACATCTGAATATATAGTCAGCTGGAAGAATTAAACTAGGACACATGCAGAAGGTTGAAACTTTCTTGCTTTTGGTCTAAACACCATGATTATGAAACTAAAGCGGTTAAGAGCACAATGTTTCAGTAACACTAAAATGAATCACAACAATTATTACTTTTTATACTGTAATTTCAAAAGTAGGTTTACTTTATATAGATTGGGCACTTTTGAGGCATATGTAAACTGCACTTAAAAGACAAGGGGTGAGGTGGTAGCTCAGTGGTAGAGGGCTTGCCCAGCAGGCACCAGACCTTGGGTTTTATTATCAGAACTAAAAAAAAAAAAAAAAGTCCCACTGTTTTGTAGTCTTATAGATGCTTTGTCTTCACATTTGATTTATCTTCAACTCACACTGATTTACGACATTTTTGCTATAAGTTTTTCTATAGTTCATTAAGCTCATGATTTTGAAGTACCAATGCAAGAGGCTGGACAGCCATGGATCTTTTGGAGGTAAAGTATTCCCTTGTTATGGTTTCATTGATAATCATTTTTTAAACATTGCTGCTGGTAAGTCTTGACTGTTTCTTCTATAATCAAGGCATAACTTTCTTTAGCAAAGAAAGACCACCCACAATACTAATATTTTGAAGAAAATAAAGAAAAAGAAAATGAGGTACTAGGTACTGATTGACACTCAAGATAACCAGAGGTATAGTAGTTACCTGGGTGGAGCTAATCAGATCAGCTGAATATGACTCCAAGGTAGACCTCATATAATCAGATTCTGACCCAAGCCAGCATCAAAGGCAAGAGTCATCAAAGTTTGAAATCTTTGGTGACTACTTTGGATTTCTTTTCTTTGAGTTCTGCTTGGTTTCTCCTCCACCAATCTCTTTATTCTCCTTTGGTTGTAACTATAAAATCTGGTTGAAGGGAACATTTAATCTAATCTGCTAGTTAGGAGTATGTATGAGTTAATTATTCATTTTCACTAAGAGATGGAATGATTATCTACCTGCCTGTGTTCTCTTGTCCTAGGCCATGCTTATGTGTAAGCTTAGGTAATGTTCTATTTTTCCAGTACCGGCTTCATGGCGATCATCATGGGCACTCCCAAAAGACCATAGGTTCACCCCACTGCTGTCTTCCTATGGCACCTTCCCCAACTGGCCCCCACCTTGTATACTCTACTCCCATTGCTTGTTAATTAGTGCTGCAGAATTCAACCACCATGACACTAGACAGCATTACAAGCTTTCTAGTCTCAAAATCAGTTCCACAATCCTGTTCCACAATCCATTTACTTGTCCCTAACAGACTCCCTTTGGTTCCTAACTAGGGTTTGCCCAGATTTTTCCAAGGCACTTTCAATTCCACTCCCCCACAAGCAGGGCTGTTGTCTCTTTAGCTACAGGTTTTTAACATTGAATTTCAATGAAAAAAGAGAGGCCAGTAGGAGGGAAGCATTCCTTGACCCTTTTTCCCACTTCTAAACTTACCTTCTATCTTTGATTAAAACCACACAAATAATAACTTTTCCAGGATGGGAGAAAGGAAGGTAAAATACTATCATTCTACATATACAGCTTCTCTGCCTCAAGCCCGGAAACATTAGAATTTAAAAAATATGCACATTAGAACAGAGAGATGGAGGTTACTAACCCTAGTGCTCCTAGTGGTGCTTCAGGGAGACCACTGAGACCACCACTGAGCTCTCTAGCACTCAGGGAGACCCTTCATGACCAATCGGTCTACAAGTAGCTGCTCAGTCCAATGGGATCATTTTTGGTTTTCTTTTTTGTAATTTTAATTGTCTTGTCCTTTGTGGTATAATAATATCATGATATTATATTATAGTCTAGACTCCTCCCATTAGAATATAAGTGTAACAAAAGCAGGAGCTGTTTCATTCATTGCAGGAACTGTCGCTCAATCAATATCTGGCAGTTGCACAATACAGTATATATTTACTGAATGAAGAAATTATTCTCAATTGTATTGTCTTGCTTTCTCCTATGCTTTTGCTAAACACAAAAATATATTAAAAAAAACAGTAAAAGGTCATTGGGTTCTATCTTTTGTTCTAGCTACAGTTAAATTTCTTGGAGGATCACAAAGCTGAGGAGTGATGGATTTGAACCCAGACCTGTCTGGCACTACAGCTCTTCTTCCTTTACTCCAAACACACTAAGGTGTTTTGCAATTTGTCCATTTATGTATTAGTCTCCTCCAAAGGCTGGTGAGTGTCACATAACCCATCTCAAAGTGGAGAAAATAAAAATCTTTTTGACCAAACTTTTTTTCTGATCAGCAGTGTAACTACTGGAGCAGGGGAGAAAGCTTCCTTGTTTTAACAGGACTCTATAGCATGGGTGCTGGGCAGGTAGTTAATGAAATTTATATAGAGCAATTTTCAATGCTTTAACACTTAAAAGCCAGGCTTCTTATACAGGTGGATTCCTTTTACAGATTAGGTTTATACCAGTATGCAAGTTCTTTTTTTAAAAAAAATATTTATTTAGTTGTAATTGGACATAATACCTTTATTTAATTTATTTATTTATATGTGGTGCTGAGGATCAAACCCAGCGCCTCACTCATGCTAGGCGAGTGCTCTACCGCTGAGCCACAACCCCAGCTCCACCAGTATGCAAGTTCTCTAAAACAAAAATTACATAAGAAATTCATGAAACTTTTAAGCACTGACAGAGCACTTTCATTAATGAGCAAAAATAAATGAATAAAAACCTGTTACTAAGGTCTTTTATAATTAAAAAATAAAACAAATATCTTAGATATTTCCTAATCCTGTATCACCTGCTAGGAAAACCAAGGTCACCCAAGAACATTAGGACTGAATGAAAAGGTCTAAAAATGTTAAAAAGAATTTCTAAATTCCTCATGTGGCAAGTCCTGCTCTTTTAAATAAACATGATAAAACACCAGTGCTGTGATGTGTGGCTTCATCAGGGGAATGTTCCTTCTGGGGCTGGGGATGAGTTTCTTAGAAACAAGAAGACAAATTACATAGTACATGTAAGTTAGAGAACAGAGATCTGCTTTGATTCTTGTACTTACTGCTACAATAAATCTGAGATAATAATGCTTATTTTTTATTGGCCTTGGTTCTCTTCTTTGCAAGAGAGGATTAGACTAGCAAGGTGTTTCTTAAAAAATGGTGTGCAGAATTTGGAGAAGGTCCCAACACTTTATTTTTATACTAATACTGAGATACCATTTGCCTTTTCTGCTGTGTTGATGTCTATGTGTGCTGCACTGATAGGGCAAAAGAAATACTGGGTAAAATTGCTCTACCACCTCAGTCTGAATTGAGGCACTGACAGCAAACTAAACAGTCATATTCTCCACAGTCACACTCATAGTAGAACAATAAATAAGCAGTATGAACTTTAAGTTACATTAAATCTTGATCCTTGAGCACATGCCTTTTCACTATTTTGTGTGATGAAATGGTTCACAAAGAAGCATGATGGCTGCCTTGAGGAAAAGCATTCTATTCATCTGTGAAACTAAACTAGCTGCTTTTTCCCCATGGAAAAGCATTCCTATCTGAAAGAACATCTGAGAGATGTGTGTTGAAATATATTTAAAGAACACAGTCAGATTTGGGTACCTGGCAGACATGTTCTCAAAAATAAACGAATGGAGCTTTCATTACAAGAAAAAACTGGAAATATTTTTTGTCAATGATGAAAATCATCTTTTGAGAGGCAACTGGGAAACTAGGATTCACCACCAGAACTTGAAGCTTCCTAATATAGGTGCTTTTCCACTTATGAGGAGGTCAAATACTAATAAACCCATTGTTAAGATGAAGAGAGTACAACCGGAAAATGCATTTTATACACCTAAGGCTGGGGAAGAGTTTCTTAGAAACAAGAAGACAAATTACATAGTACATGTAAGTTAGAGAACAGAGATAGTATACTGTGGACTACTAGATACTTACACTTGTGATCTCATGGCTGATTGGAAACTGTGGCTTGTTTCATGAGAAAATGTCAGGAG